GACACTCTGAAAGATAATGTCCTATTTATGGTGTATTGCTGTTCGAACCATTTTTTATTTTAAATGCATTAAATCAACTCGTGAGTGAGATGTTTTACACTGCATCACTACTCACAAGGATATGAACTAATTTTCCAAGAGGGAAGTCTGTCACATTACAAGGCACATCTTAATGTCTGTAAATGTAATTAGGGACTGTAAAGTCATCTGTTATCGCTGTCTGAAAGACAATAGTTAAAACCCTTATGAGTATTCTGTTGTTGTATTCAAGATTAGTGAGATAGATTATGTAGGCACAATGCCATTCTGATTTATTTTAACAGTGTAATCAAGGAGGCATTACACATTTATTACCAAAATAAAAACTAGACAAAAGACAAATGCCTCCTTTCCACCAATTTGGTGCTGGAACCAAATCTGGATGCAGTTTCATGCATTTCCACTGAAAAGGTAGTTGCACTTTTACAGAAAAATTCACAGATCCAGTTCAGAGATTCTTCAATGATTTTCTTCCAGGGAATATTAGAACAGTTTTGGTTCATAAACCAATTGAATTATGGGTTGGGTCTCAAATGGCACCAATACCCAACCAGATCAGCATCACCACTGGAACCACGTTGCTGAAAAAGCGGTAACAGAGTAGAAAATAAAAAAAGAGAGAATACAGCATGATGGGATTTTTCAGAATAATGATTCTGCACTAGAACTGTGATGGGTGGACTCCAAAAGTGCGTGTAAAGAGAATAGCAAAGTTTGCGCAGGTCACAAAAGACCAGAGAGAATAACGGATGTCTTGTGTCCACAGGCAAACTGAAACAGGAGTAGCAGGAAGAAGGAAAAACAAAATGAAAATTCAAAGGGAGAAAGCTGCAGGGAGCAAGACATTCAGCACAGAATGAAGACATACAGCCAGCTACGTACACGTGTGTGTAATTCTATTACAAACTAATTCAGTAAACTCGATAGATGAAGCAAAGAGGGCAGGATAGAGGGGGTGAAACAGAGTTCAGAAAGATAAAATAGACATGGCGGAGACAAGCAGGCATAGGTGGACAAACAATAGGTGTGTGCAGACGGCAGTCTTTTCAATATGTTTGTCCACAGGGTCCCCTCTCTGCCTACTCATAACACCCAGTGACCTGCGATCCCTGCACATCCAGCCCACTCCCTCTACTTTTCCTTCTCTCTCTTATTCCCTGTCCCACCCACTCTTCTTCTCTTCTTGCCACCCTCTCCCTCTCCTCTTCTAATCTGTCATCTCCCATCATGTGTTCCTCTGTGTGCTGATACATGAAAGTAAATTTGAAAAAAAAAGAAGAAGAAGAAGAATAAAAACAGAAGGGGAGTGACTCAGAGCTGGGCTTCCCTCTTCGTCAGCATGAGAGAAGGCAAACCCTGGGAGTATGTTTGTGTGTCTCTGTGAGTGTGTGTCGATGTAGGCAGGAGGATGACCCATTCACAGTAAATAAAAAACTACCCACATTTTAATGCACACACACTGAGTGTTGTATGTGAAGTCGTGTGCTCATCGATGATATTAAATTGCTGGTTAGAATGAGCACAGGCGTGACTGAACTGTGAGGTGATCACTGATTAATATGGTAGGGGCAATGATGACGATGATGATGAGGCTAATGATAATCGGGGCACTAATGATGATGATGATCGCCAGCCTGTTCCCCTTCTCTCACTCAAATGGGCATATATCTATCTTTGTTGCTTTTTAAAGCTACACGCAAGACAGGCAGAGAGGCTACATTAGAGATGCACGCCTTTATTCTGTCTATAAACAGAACAGCTGTAAGTACCACACTGACTCACAACTACATTTGTAATGACATGATTGTATATACAGTACATTTGCAGGGTGGAAGATTGGGTATGGGAGAGTGAAACAAAAGGGGAGATGAGACAGTGGTGCACAATGCAAAACCCCCAGCTTTTGTCATATTTACATAAAGATAAACTTCCAACTACAGATAGAAGCCCCACCCAAACTTCAAACATGTGTGCGTGCACTTTCCACTTCTCGCTGTTTGCAGTCTGCAACTGTCAAGATAAAACACACCTGCCTGATGTCAGGGAGAAACGCCTGAATAAGCAGATCCCTACCCTCTGCACACAGGATATACCCTGAGGAATTACGCAGGAGAATGAGGCGGCTTTATAGGCTCTTGATTGGCCTGTACACTACACACACACACACACACACACACACACAAACACAAAGAAGCTTGCTAATAGGTAAGAAGATGGACAGAGGGGGCTGGGAAAAGCCCTGTGCTTTTGTAGCTTCTGCACATGTTGATAACACCTCTATGTACACACGCACATATGCACACAAGCTAACAAGACTTTATTTAACAAAGTAAACACCGAGTGGCTCGCTGACTCTCTTCAGACCTGGATACAATAGCAGGACACACACATATAAAGCGGAGGATGGGTTTTATTTGTATCGTTCTATATGTAGTCAGTTCTGGTCAGATTAGCGAGATGGACGGGTTAAAAAGTGGAAAGGACCTTCCTGAGATTTCGGGCCGTGAGGCCAAACATTTCTGTGTGTGTGTGTGTCAGACAGTGAAAATGCTAAAAGAGGTCTTTAAGCCTGATAAGCACTAAATTAACAGTCAGTCAGGTCTCCTGGCAGCATCTGCAGCTCTAAGATGAAGTAACAGTA